TCCTCCATTGTCATACAGGTTTCTGCTCGTGCAGACTACAGTGGTTGGCCCTAAGATATCAGGGGTGACCAGAAAAAAGCGCACACGAAGATTGCGCACACTAAAAGTGTGCACATTTTCGCAAGCTGTTAACATGGTCACATATGACCGTATTATTTATCTATGCTTAATACTCACATTAGGAATTCACGTCGTATAAAACGATCTACTGGACATGTTGTTGGTAATGACTACGAGACAATAAGACTTATCTTCGGTATCGGAATATACGTCACACCACAGCCGCTCATACAACGTTGCATCCGGTGGGGGGGGGGGGAATTATTGGACACATCTCCAACGCTTGTTCCGATCTTAAGATCGAGCTGTATTTTTCCTCTTCACAAATGCCTGTTTAACAGTTGAACAATTCCAACCATCACGGTATAACCCACCTTACCCCGTAACATAAACATGTTACCAATGGCTTTAAGAATACAGACAAACGTTGACTCGTATTGACAGTGTAACAGTTATTAACAAGATTCCACAAAACTGTAAACCTCGCAATAATATTACGGCCGCACGAATGGACAACTATGACCACGCATGCATGTCTAAACGAGTGTGAATCATGACTGACAGCGTCCGTTCTCGGTTCTGCTTGTTACTGTGTCCCGCATGTGGACAACCACAGGATGCCTGCGCTGAATGAGAGATGAAGTATGATCGCCTTGCGCTGCACCACCCATAGCTTCATCCACACACACCACATCCATTGTAAACCCATAGGAATAAGACCGGGAGGCAAGTGAATGGTAGTCAAGATTCATCAACAGAGTCGGCGCACACTTGTTCAACATGCACAGCATTCCTGTCGAAGTTGCGAATCAGCCGCGTACGGAACATCGCATGCTAGATGGGACCACTAATTGAGCATAGCACAGGCGCAAATGCTGTACACCCGCAATGGGGTGTGATTCATAAACCACAAGCAAGGACTGGGCATTGCTCACAAACTTAAGTTTCTCGAAGCCTCCACGAAATTGTAGGTGACACCCACTCCATGTAAGCAGATGGAGTTCCTCGCTAGTCTCGCCTAGCTATGAAGATGTTGGTGACCGCGGCCGCAGAGCAGGAGGCTGGACAGCATCAAATGACCTTTGAACGCCAGTGTTTGGCCAATGACGCTGCTATGTAACCGATTTAATCCACCAGTTCTATGTAAACGGTTGACGCGAGTACGCGATTAGCTAAGTGGACGGCAACACACATCGTCGTTTCTTGTTGCACTGTTACCTATGGAGTACTCCAGCAATCAGAAGGGCAAGCTAGTTTTAGACATATTGCTTTCCACACTATTGAAGAAGTGGTCACTTGGAGATGCAGGCAAAACCGAAGTGTCACCCACTGATGTAGACACGAGACCGCAACATCTTGCAGCTGCCGACTGCGCACTGTCATGTCTCATGTCCTCAAAAAACGGAAGCCAATGTTGCACGAAGCCAAATGAAACTGGACATGAGGGCACTCAGTACTACACCTCGCAACATTATTGGAAATGTGTTGTCTGCACTGAGTAGTGAAGCTTTGGCCCACTAGCCCAAACAATCATTCATTGCAAGAACTCTTCTGAGTCACTAAAAAACCGGTCATTTGCCTTGTCCAACAGGCACAAGTGTTGCTATTCCTGAGCAGTACTCCGAACTAATTCTACATGATTTAGGTATAGATGATCCAGAAAGGATTATCGTGTTAGATGATAAAGAACTTATACTTTAATTGTGCACAGATACGACACTTTTGATAAAGTTCCCAACACCTTTTATCTGCCGCCAACATGGGCAAGAGTTATCCCGCTTACCTTTACATCCTGTTGCAAACCTATACAAGAATGTTTTCAATAATGAAACTACTGTAACCGGATATCTGCCAACAAAGGTGTTAGTCGATTTTGAAAAGACTTCTGTTAACGCTGCGAGATTCGCATTTCCCGGCGCAGTACTTAATGGATACTAGTTCCACCTGCGCTAAAGTATCATCACAAAACTGCAAAGTCGCTCTAAAGAGTGCTTTTGAAATGGATGTCAAAATTCAACTGCTGCTAAAGTCGCTGGTTGCACTTTCTTTAGTCCAAGTCGCTGAAGTGAGAAGAGTTTTCGATGAGCTTTCTAGCACATTTCCAAATGAAGAATCATATAATGCGGTGTTGTTATTTCTTCTCTACTTACATTGAAGGAGCAGCATGCCGAGAACCGCGGTCCCCGCTGCAAATATGGAACCATCACGATGCCGCTCTTGATAGGTCACCGGAAACCACCAGTTGCTGCGGAGGAATTCACAATGCTTTGAATTCCTTATTCCACTGCATTCATCCAAGCGTTAGGGCATTTGTTTGATGAACTGCAGAGGGACTTGGCATACCACAGACTTACACTAGCCAATGCTCGTGCAGTTCGCTTTGAGGTGAGGAAGAAAAGATATGATGCGTTGAAGCTGCCGTTGCTTCTTGTGTTTGAGATTATGAATCAGCGGAAAACCTGCTTAAATGCCCTAGGTCACGCTTGCATTCGAGCAGACTTAATATACGTATTTGGATCCGCTCTGCTTGGTCCTTCTTTCGTACATTTGCCGTCCAGTTTGCATGCTTATTTTCTTTCCTATTATGTGTTGATTGTTTGAAATCTCCAGTATGACTGCACTTTATGTGACTGTTATCAATCTGCTTACCTGTTGAAAATCCACCATCTGTGTTAAACTGGCTCTAGGATACAGTTGGTCGTCGCTTGAGGAGACGGTCCTCGTGGCTGTGCTAGACTCGAAGAGTGGTTCCATTCGGTGTTAAATCGGCAACGGGCCAGACACCGTCTTGTGTACACCTGGTACACATGCTTCCCAAATTAGTTGAACAGGGATGATGCTGATGTGCATGTTGAACTAGTAAGAGACGACTCCTGCTGTTGAAACAGGCCCCCATCCGCATGCCTCCCGGTCTTACTCCTTCGGGTTTACACTGGGATGTGGATACACCTGTGGGTAGTGCAGCGCAAGTCACCTATAGTCCCCAGTAAGCGCTAGGTGTCCTGCGGCCGTCCCTATAGTTACCGCAGCTAATCATCTCATCTTCATTCTATCTCATCTGTATGTGGCTTTCATTTTTATTTTGATTATGCTTCTCGGTAATGTTATTCTTGGTGCCCCATGCTGAGGCTGATGTTGCATTCAAGATGCATCACCGCTGTTGGGCTAAACCAGTTTGCACTTGATCTAGGTATTTTATGCTACATAAATTTCATTCCACTTTATTTGGTTTGTTCTACCTACCTGAATATTCTTCTAACAACTTACGCACGTCGCTTTCGTTAATTGTGGTTATCTCCGTTAACTTTATTGCATTTGCAGTATATTTTGGGTAACTTCTGGACATTTTGTACTTATGGTGCATCCGTTGCTAACCAACTTACTTCATATGCTAATTGAGCGAACAGTTATGTCAGCATAGCTGTATGTTTTAACTGATATATTTTATTTGATAATATCATTTCAAGTGATTGGCTTTTGTTTGACATCCTCTATGTGGCTGCGCTTCATGTGTATATTGACAATGTGCTTGCACGTCTATTACCCCCTATCTCCTCCATACTTGCTCCACAATAGAGTTGGTCGTTATTTTAGGGGATCGGATGCACGGTCCTTGTGGCCGTGCTAGGTTTTAAGTGTGGGTGCAGGCACTCAGTGTGGAGCGGACCACGGTCTACCCTTCGCCTTCAGTGCGCTTGATTCCCCAAATACATCGTGCTTGTGTTTGCCAGTAATGGAGTGTCTGCCGGCTCCGTTGATGAAACGTGGCTCCCATCCACATGCCTCCCGGTCTTATTCCTTCGGATTTACACTGGATATGGGGTATGTGGTTGGAGCTGTGGGTGGTGCAACGCAAGCCACCCATGGTCCCTCTGTAGGCGCAGGCGTCCTGTGGCTGGCCACAGTGACAGGCAAATCCGAAACCGGATGCCGCCAACCAATGATATTCTTGACGTCTATCCATTTGGCTACGGGGCAGAAAAGGCATCCGCAGTGCGCGTGTACACAGTGCTTTCGCCTCTCTGCTGCGCAATCATCACCGGTCGCACATGGGCTAATGATACTGCGAGTCACCTTGCTCCTGCGCAGGCTCTGACCCCACAGTCAGATTTCAAGACCAGCTTGTTACCTTTAGGCTACAGGTGTAATCTGACTACCACCCAGCTTGTTGTTTTGCAGTTGTCACCCTACTTCTCTTAACCTTCATATCCCTTAGAAGCCCATATGGATTATTCACTTTGCACCGTGTTTACATACGTATACTCTTCACGAGTTTCTGTAGTCGCTCAGGCTGCGGATGACGTCAAGCTTTAATGAACATACCAGTAACATAGTTACAGGATGCTCTGGGTTAGTATCTTGCACATTAGATTGACAGCTGTGTGTTCCAACACGATGGCACTATCTGTAACTGCGGAATAAGTTATCTTAAGTCGTTCTGAATGCGTTAATTATTTCTTGAAGACGCTTTTATCGACTGTTCCATAGTGGTACATGTCCAGGACTCATTCTTGACGTGGTCACGTTAGACCTACATAAACTGGATTTTCTAACTTCACTCCACTGCTCTTTATTTCTTCTCTGTCTTTATTATCTCTTTTGACTTTTGAGTTTGTTTGCAGTCGCTTTTTCTCGTGTTACCTTTTTGACATTACCTTTGGGCTCCACGTAATATCCTACTTCGCGTGCAAGTTAGTTAGGAGGTTGTGCATCGGTACTTATTGGTGGTCTTGTTGTAGACAGTCATTTCCTCGTAACCCCGCTACGAACTAACTGCTGGTGGACTGCAAAGTTCGTCACCCAGTGATATGTTGCTCCTCGCGGATCAGACCAACTACATGTACGCACTCGTGGCATTTTCTTAACTTTTTGTCCCTGAACTCTGGCCATCTTGCTATGTTTCCCAACTTCTTCCTACCACTAACCACATTCCGTTTCAGCTTGAAATGTGATCTCTTACAAGTCAGTTTAATCGCCGTGTCAAAGGCAACCCAGTACTTACCTAATATGGACAAACTGGAATCCGAAGGCCTCAGGTTTCCTGGCGGGCTCTCTGTTTTCGCCACTCTACGCGTACTTACTAAAGCAATACTTTTGCACAAAGGTAACCACATCGTTTGATAGACTTACCTGCACATCATTGTCCAACAACGAATGTGTACATTTATTCATGTTTCCACATTTCATTCAATTCCTTCACGGACGCGAGATCTGGGGGAATATGCGCATTAAAATTACATAGGGCACTGGTGGACTGTTTTCTGTTCCTTGATCCATCCAATCTCTGAATATGCTACTATTACGGAGGTCGCATCCCGTCCTACCCCACCATCCATTAGTATTCACGTAACGCCGGTCACATAGTTGGTGATATCTGGCGAGTGGACGTCCTGTTTTCAACCTTCGTATCGAGCGCAACCACGCATGGACTACTTCATACACGCGACGCGTACATCAGTGTTAACGTACCCGACAATTCGTCACGTTTAGGACATTAGTTGCACTGTTGGCATTTTTAATACGGAACACTGTATGTGGGAGCAAGTAGAAATTTAAAGCTGTACAACTCCATCGCAATATAATCAGACATTTTATAAAAAGTGACTGCAATCCGTGATAATCTAGTTGTTCTTCAAGTTCTTATGTAGCATTTTAAAATGCCTGACTTACAGTCTCACTGGATTCACAAATGCAAGATGTCATTGCTAGCATGCAGTCGTTCTCTGAATGGAATTGTGCTTAAATGTAAATCCAACAACCTTTTGAACTGCTTCAGAGATTTAGTCTCCACGGCTTGTTCTGGCAGGCTGTTCCAAACATTTACTGCTCTCCCTTCCAAGCACAGGGGGTGGGGTAATCGTTTCATTTTCAGCACCACAAGCTTGTACCGGTGTCCGCGTGTGTTGCATGGCGTTCGCAAGTGCAGCACTGGCCTCATCATGAGGAAGTCACCGAGATGTAATGTACGGTAGGTCAGGATGAGATTGACTCGCACCCGAGGACAGGACAAAGTGTGGCGTCCTACTTTTTGTACCCGTCTAACCACGATGATCCTCGTAAACTTGGCTTGAGCCTGGTACCGACGTGTTGGACCCGTTCTATCTTCTGTGCCTTGTCTCGGGTAATTGAGCGCTAGGAAGATGAGCCATACTCCAGTATTGGTCTTTTGATGAAAGAGAAGAGGCGAGTGGCGATCTCCAGACCATGTACAGAAGCTATGTTTGATTGCCCAAAGCATGCGCAGTCCTTCACGATAGAGCCTGTTCGTGTTGTCCACGGATTTCAAATCGCAGTGCGAGAACACACTTAGGTCCTTCACGAAAGGTGTAAGATGTAGCGGTTGGCCGTTAATAATGTAAGTTCGTTCACCACCACCCTTCCCCAAGCTCATAAATACCGACTTGGATGGGTTGACCAGGAGACGCAGGCCACATGGAGAGACAGTTGAGATCTTGGTGAAGTAGCATGGAGTCGTCTAGGGTCCTAATCACTCTCTAAATCTTCAAGTCTTCCTCAAACAGTGCACACGGCAACCGTAGAAGATAAGGCAGATGGTTGGTGTGGATTAGGAACGGAGTAGACTCCAGCGCTATGCGTTGGGGTACTCCACTAGTAGAACGATACCAGTCAGTTAGATGGCCGTCCACCTGTACCCTCCGCTTTCGCCCGGCGTTAAAGTTCTGGATCCACTGGTACAGTGATCCACCAACGCCACACTCAACTTGTGGAGGAGGACCTCGATGTACCTTACGTCGGCAGACTTCCCCTCATTCGCTGCCTGCAACCATCCATGCCTCGTCACCAGCAAGTTGGTAATGCATGAGCAGCCTAGCATAAGACCATGCTGTACGGATGTTAGTAGATCTTTTGATTGGAGCAGCTGTAGTGGAGCCTTCTTCACGATCTTCTCGGCAACCTTGGCCAAAATAGGTGTCAGCCAACTTGGCCTGTAGTTGTCCACTTTGATGGGGGTCTCCGCCTTTTGCAATCAGCTTTGCCACTGAGCATTCTCAGTCGCTTGGCAATGAACCTTCGGATAATTATATGTTGTACAAGACAATCACAGCAGGTGCAAAAATGTCCGAAGGGGCCTAGTGAATCTGTGGATGAACTCCGTCAGTTCCCGCAAGTTTGGTGCCGTCAATGTTGGCGAGTAATTAATGCACCTCTTCTACACCTCAAACCAGACTGTCCAGTTTGGTAAGCGCCGTACACGTCGAACTCGGTACAGACACCTGGTCATTTGCAAACACGGAAGCGGAGTGTGTTTCCAGTTTCAGCCTGTCCGATTGTTTGGTATTCAAAGTTTGCGCAGGGTGTTATAACGCTGTACCCACAATCGACCGGTTGATTCACTCCTGCTGGTGAATCTGTGCCTTTGCCTGCTCTACTTGTCGCCTTGACTAACCCAACAGGAAGGAAAACAGAAGACTCAGCCCACCAGCGTTGTATTAGAATCGAGAACGCTCATATTTATAGCTCGGTCTCACCAATCCTCTAAATCCCGCCTGGCGGATTTGTCTACCTGTCTTCCTCGTACGCTCACGCTCCATACTTAACTGTTCGCTCCGTCTGGCCAGTTCACCGTCTTGCTCGGGCACGCCAGTCTTCATGCACCTACCCCGGACATGGCAACGTACATGATGGCTGACGCGCGATTTCATCAGCTTCCTGTCATACCTTGGCAACACGCATGATGTCTGATGCGCGATTTCATCAGGTTTCGGCTGGGCCTTGGCAACGCGCTCGCGGGGTCTGTCCCAAGCACGCTTTGTGGCGAACACGCGCGTGTTGGTAATCAGCTTTCTCGCCCACTTGTCACAGGGTCACCAATGCCAATGGGTCTGGAGCCACAAAAGTTTTGTGTGATTTGTCTTGTGTCACTACTTGTGGTGTAGTGATCGTCTGTTCTGAGTGTATGTGCATCTTGACATTCATCAGCGTCTAATCGCAGGACGAGAAGGCTACATTTGGCTCTGCTGCTCGCTTTGCTTATGACGCGTCAATATGTCATAGCGCAGCTCCTGTCCGCGAACACAGATTGATGACTTGTCCGGATCTCAGTGTATGTGTGTAATGGCGATGCAATGCATGGGAGCGAAAAGGCAGATTTGACAGGGCTACCTCATAGTTGGTGCGGCTCCAAACGCATTACCATGGCACAGTGATGCAAATGCAGTTAACCTGTCCAATTAAGTCCACGCATCCTCTATGTAAGGATTTCATGCAGCAGTTCGTCCACTGTCCTTTTTTCATTTTCTTCATCACTCGCGATCGCAACGGTGTGGCCCTACCCAGTCTTCCATTTTCTTTTCCATTCAGCTCTCACGGACTCCGAATCCTTTGCAGACCACTCTGTGTCATTCCTGCTCAGTTGGATTTCACGCTTTATTGTGAGTCTTGTTCATACCCTCGTACGCCGCATCTACTTTATATATAATGTGTAGTTCACGGTGTAGACGTCATGGACGGTCGCAGCTAGAGTCCTACTCTTACCACTCACTATCTACTTGGATGTGTATATACCCCACTGCCTGGCTTATGTAACAGCTCCCTGTTTCCTCCACACGAGTTTACCCGAGTGGACCGCGGCACTCCGCCACTAATTTTCGTTTGGATCACTGTTGCACCACTTAGCTTGTGAATCCTGATTTCCGTATTTTCTTATAAAAGTCTTTATTCGCTAAACTGCTGGTGTAGCTTTGATCTAGGAGCCAACCTATGATACGTGAAACCATGCAGGCATTTTAGTGAGTCAACTACCTTTTCACTGTATGGGTCACTAGCCGCCATCTCGCCTCACTTGTATTTCCGTTCGGTTTTTCTGTTAACCATCTCGACTTACATGTGTATCCGCATTTACTCATCACTTGCGACCGTTAACCGATAAAATTTCCACCCAGTGATCTGTCCTTAACGGACTATTAAACAGCGCCATTCACCTCATCAAGAATTATTTTCAGCTGCACTCCACCGTTTTGCTGTGTCGCTCTTCTTATTTTGCACAACACTTTTATAGGAACATTGCCAGCTTTCACCTTCGGTTGATCCATCTCCAAGCTCTCCGTCATCCCTCTATGGTCCGGTGCTACAGTTGGCATGCGCATTGCCCCCGTTCGCATGCGCAGCGAGTGCCCCTGAGTCCCTGCAAACTCTGGACAACTGCTTGCGTCATTTGACCTTATTTGGTCTGCGTCATGATTGCCATGTGCGCATTTGGATTCAGCCCATGCTGTTTGCCATGAAGAGAGGGAACCGCGATAACACATTTCTGCATGTCGCTCGCGGGCTGCTTCAGGGACTGTTGAGGTAATGATAACAACAGTGTTGGCACTAATTACAGTAATGGTGGCTACTATCGATTTTTCACGAGGCACACCTGAGCTAGGCGCGGCCAGTTGAGTACATTCGGAAATAATTCTTCATTTACATTTTGATCGGTAGCGGATCCAAATACAAAAATAGGAGATGTTTTATAAGTATTGGTGTATAACTATGCTAACATTTTGAGGTTCCAATTCTTCCTACGTCTTCTGCATCGCTCCGCAAAGTAAACAGTCGATGTTGACTCGAGCGATTTTAAATTTCATGATATTGCAAGTGCCTTCGTTGACCAGAATGCGTTCTCGTTCTCGAATAGAACAACGGAGTCGGTTATCCGCTTTTCATGCTACACATTAAATAAATAAATAAAATAAATAAATAAATTTGTATATTTACCGACGGACGGTACATGGCCCCATAAGTGGGAGCGATCATTTGTATAGTACACACGTTTCATAACATTAAATAAAAGTTTACTGATAGCATTTCGGATCATGATTACTTTTCCTTAAGTCCTAGACGCGCGCAACTCATATGTAAAATTTACGGATGTTTGTATCGTTAGGAGTAGATAATAAACGAAGGGACTATTAGGCTGCAAAGACACAGGATTTGGTATGGTATGTAATGACATGTAGTGGGTAAGCTAGCTGTAAGCCATTATCAAATGTTTTTATACCAACTTTTGTCAATGTTTCTAGTGTTTGTTGTGTGTCAAATATCTTCAGAGCATTTGGTATAGTGAGGAAGGTCTGAAGGAGATTTCGAAAAGTGACATGGCTTGTACACATGCGTATCTGTAGGGGTAGTTTGTTCCACAGAGAAGTGTATCACACTAAGAATAAATTCGACCGAATTTTATAACTTGAAAGGTTTGTACGTATCAAGTAGCCGCCATTACGTGTGGGGTAGACTGCAGTCTTCCGTAGTTTAAGTGCGGTGTTGTCTGCGTAAATTCGTTGGTTTATAATGTTGTAGAAGAGAACGAGGTTATTCTTTAAGTGTCTCAGCCATAGTGGATCCAGCTGGAGTTTTCGACAGCGATCATAATAAGTCAGGTTTGAGCAGTGTCCCATGAACAGTTTGGTAAATGATCGTTGGACATTTTCTAGAGCCGTTCTGTCTTTCTTTCTCAATTGGCTGTGAAGGATAGTACAATATTCCAGAGTCGGTCGTACGATTGTCTTGAATGATTCAAGTCGTACTTCAGGTAGGGAGAAAGTTCTGGTGATATATCCGCATAGCTGCCTTGCTTTCGCAACCTGATAAAGAACATGTTCGGAGAAATTGAAAGAGTTGGAGTACCTAATTCCTAAGTCCCGAACTGAATCAGACGTTGGGATCACGTTTCCGGCAAGCATACTGGAGCCTTCTGGGATGCGGCATCTGTACCCAAGTACTTGGGATTTCACTGCGGAGAACTTCATTAATAAGCGCTCACTAGCTATATTTAGTGCGGATAGGTTTTCACAGATGTTTCCCAAACACATATGTAGTTGGTCTGGATGAAATGAGTAGATCAGTTTGACATCATCTGCAAATAGAAATGGATGTCCATGTTTGATCGGGTCACATATATTGTTTACATAGATTAAGAAGAGTAGCGGTCCGAGTACACTTCCCTGGAAGACACCGCTGGTTATTGGCTTCGGTGTAGAATGTTGCTGACCGATTTTAACGACCTGAGTTCGACCGTTTAGGTATGAGTCGAACCAGTTAAGCAGCGGATTTCCAATTCCATATGACTCTAGAGCAGACAGCAGTGGCTGGTGTGGCACGCGGTCGAACGCCTTTTGCATGTCCAACAGAATTATAATAATTGCCATTCCTCTGTCAATCATAGTCGTGATGTGATCGAAAAATTGTAGCTGGCATGTAACGCTGGAGCGTTTTGAGAGAAAGCCGTGCTGTGAAGGGTTGATCAGATCCAGTCTTGTAAGATATTTAACGATGTTCTTGACTATTCGCTCTAGGGCTTTGGAAGCAGCAGAGGTGTAATTTATTGGGCGGTAGCTTGTCATTTGATTTCTCGGTCCACCCTTGTGCTTAAGCATTATAATGGATTGCTTCCATTGAGCTGGAAAGCATCCGGTAGTGAGTGAAAGCGTGAAAATGTTTAGTAACAATAGTGCAAGGTTTTTTCCTCCGAGTTTTATAACAGTTAGGGAGATGCCATCTGGACCTGGATGAGTTGATGGTTTTATGGCTGCGATGGCACTTTGCACATCTCTCAACGTCACAGGGATATTGCAGTATAGTTCGGTCGTTCTTTTTGGAAGTGGAGGATGAAGTGGCTGAATGTTGGGGACAAAAGAGGAGGCAAAACTAGAGTTCATGGCCTCGCATATACAGGAGATGTCGCGCGTTATTGAACCATCGTCTAGAGCCAACGTTTCAATCTCCTGAAGTGGTTTAGGGTTTCTTCTTTTGAGTAGTTGCATCAATGCACGTACTTTCTCAGGATTTCTGAGTACCCGGCTTTCTTCTTTGGTTTTGACTGTTAGGGTTAGAAGTTGTAAATATAGTAAGTTCTCGTTTATTTGTAGCAATGTTGCGAAGCTGTTGTTCCTGCTGTATAGCGATTTGAGTTTCTTTAGTTTTATTTTGGCTTTGGACAGAATCTTGAGTTCACCCCTATGTTCATGGGTATTTCTCCTTACAGTAGGTGCTAGGGCAATGTTGTTTATAAACTCATTTGTAGCCACAGTAGGGTTGTGGGTTAGGAATGACGTATTCCAATTCATGGTACTGATAAGTTCATTAAATGCGTTCCAGTCCACACGATGGAGGTTACGAATGGGTTTTAGCATTTTACTTGGTTGTTTAGGTAAATCGATAGTCATATCACAAAGCACCGTGTTGTGATCACAGCGAGGCAGTGGATTATCAATGAATGTATAAGCGTTCGCGATTCCCATCGTGAATACAAGGTCTAAGGTAGTATCACTTCTAGTTGGCTCTCTAACATGCTGCGTCCAGCCATTGAAGTGGATACATGCGATAATTTCCTCAATCTCAGCCGTGTTTCTGAGTGTAGGCAGCGTCCAGTTAGCATGTGGTAGGTTGAAATCTCCACATAATTTTGGATTTGTATGTGGTGCTGGAAGCAACATTGGTCATATCGATTAGCTTTTGGGTTGCCAATTGAGTAGTTCGAGGCGGTCGATAGATACAACCCACTAGAAGATCAATAGATGGGATCACTAGCCATAGTGTATCTTCTAAGTCAATGAACACAGGTTGATCTGCAGGAATGGCAGTCAGGTTATTTCGAAGATATATGGCACAGCCACCACCACGTTTGTGCGAGCGATCCTTGCGGAAAAGCTTATAGCCTAGGATGTTAAGCTGAGAATCACTAATTTCTGACGTGCACCAAGATTCAGTGATAAAAACAATATCGGGGGATCTTATAAACATAAGTGTTGAAAGTATATCTAATTTAGGTAAAAGGGAACGAATGTTAATGACGACAGCTTTGAAAGACATTGTTAACATGGAATGAAGGTGGTGGGTAATGTTTGTTTCATCGTCATTGTATCTGAGAATTGTGTGTTGTGAGGTAGCTGAGGCACACTGAGCTCCAGATCGTACTGAATTGAATGAAGTACATACTCCAATAGTTTGATTAATCTCTGATTCATAATCGCACGTGATAGGGGCAGGATTGGTGGGGGAGGAACTGGTGGTGTGCGATAGTCTAAAAAAGGACTGACATCCGTAGTATACAGGGGTGGGGGGATGCTGAAGTCGACGAACTCATTTTGCTTCGGTTTGTATTGTTGCCAATTGAGTAATACAGCGTGTGGTGGTGGGTGAATTTTGACTTGAGGTAGATAGGGGTTGCACCCTCTTAACTGTAAGTCCTTGTGGCCTACCAACTTTTTGTTTGCTAATTCGGTATAGCACACATAAGGACTTTGCCAGCTTGAGGTCGCGGGAGTTGGAAACGTAGTCAGAGGCATTGTGGGTAAGTACTGGGCCGGCTCTCTGCAACTTATCCCGACACCAGTGTCAGTTTTGCATGTAGAGGCTTGAGGACGTATACTTTTTCTCAGTTGGCCTAGCTGCATATCCCTACGCTCTGGTGGTGGTTGCTTCAGACCTAATGAGCTTTGAGTGTTTATGGGAGAAATTCTGGCATGGCGCTTTCCTCTGTTTTTGCCTTCGCCTCCGTTGGTCGGAGATAACCTATGGATTAGTTCATTTGGGTCGGATTGAGATTTACTTTTCGGGCTGCCAACGTTACAGTCTGATTTTTTGTCTCGCTCGCGATAGGTATCAGGTACAGTTACTGTAAACTTTTGTAAAGGCTCGCAGTTTGGAGAAGGGATAGGGGAGTTGAGTGTGTGGTCAGCAGGTGTCTGCGTCGTTGTATTTTCAGCGTTGTTGGTAGTCTTAGTTTTGCACACATCACTACTGCTATTTGAGATTTTTTCATCAGGCCGCTGAAGACTGAGATGTCCATCATCACCTATATTAGACGACGCGGTTGACTTGTCAAGGTCGACATTGCTGATGATAGCGTCAGTACTGGCTTCATTAGTAGGAACATGGGAAATATGATGGGTGGAGGGATTTTGTTTCATTGTTAATCGTCTTTGAAGAGGCGTTTGATCGTGTTTGATAATAATATTTTTAAAATTAGTATGTGCAGCAACCAATCTTTTACTGCGTACAAATTTAGATGCGCTCCTATCGTCTGGAAACTGTAAGAGTATCGGACATGTGGTCATGTTTTCCTTAGGTCGAAACGGCCCTTTGGTGCTCTTCCAGACGTGTGGGAACCTGCCTGAGAGGTAATTGCTATCGACTACATTTAAATTACGCCCACGATCCTCACTACTCATTAATACTTAATTTTCGATTTGCTAGAAAGAGTAAGATCCGCGTTGTCTGGGAATCATTGATATCGTCAGCAGATTGCTTTGATTCTAGTCATGGGTTGTTGGTGAATCTTAGTGGTAACATCTTTGGGGGTTTCCTATTGCTCCAGTTCCAGTTGAGTCGGGTCCATCTATCAGCACTGATTGTGAGCGAGTAGTGACGAGTGGACTGGAGTCTTGATCTAAATCTTAGCAGTGCAGTATTCATTAATGTGTTCGCGTCTAGATGCATAATGCACGAACCAACTGAGCGTCGCAGGCGGGTACACAATTAGTAACTGCCTGTCACTAACACTAATGTGTGTTCTCGATCACGCGATTGGTCTGCAATTCATGTTTCTTAGGTTGCCAATAAAAATATGCACTCATGAGTACTCATGAACCTCACTTAATAAAAATATGGTTTGAATTTTCCGGAAGCAATATTGCGTCGTAAGGTTCTGTTATTTCTAATGTGTTTTTGTGGTCAATAGGCTGTGGAATTGTGTTAGACTCTTGCTGACTTTCTGAATTTATGTTACACGACGTAACCCTCTATCCATATGTTGGGTATTTTTAAAAATGGGACAGCTGGTTTATTATTGACTTATGCGGAATGTATGCCACAAGCATTGTCACGCTTGACGCCAAATTCCTGTGGACGGTGGCTAATTCAAATTTACCACCTCGGACCAGTGAATAAGGAAGTAAATTTGGGATGCAAGGAGCGGCATAAGTACAGTACCTGTGGTACGTAGTTTGGGCGGCATATTTGCTTAGAATTGGACAGTTCCATGATGAAAGCGTCCACGAAAATTGCGTATAGCAAAAAGCGTACATGAAAAATCCGTCCGTGGAAAGTTGCACTCGGAAAATGGCGCACACGGTATATGACCAACACGGAAATACACCGGTTCGATCGCGTTGCACATAAACAACTGCCTTACATGCCAAATCCTCCAGGACTCAACAGACAGCACTGCTCTCGTATTGCACTTCACCGAAACCTCAGCGATTCCGTGACTCTAACGCACTTGGTGTGACCAGACTGTTTGTGACTAGCCTTTCTTTGTCTTGATGAGGTTGGTGACCGCGTCAAATGACTGATTACCATTTTGCACACAATCATTTTGGATGTCCAAATAGTAAATTTCCCACCCAGAACAACGCTTTGATAGAAAATTTGTGGCAATCTGCAGGTGTACCCAGTTTGTTAGAGTACGATGTGTACAATTGTAATCGAACTTATTTCTTCCGTTGCACAGTTAGACGACCGATGAAAAAATATGCACTGTCAGTTCAAGACATTTTAGTAAACCGAAAAAGGCCCACAATGGGATGCTTCGCACATCTGTGACACGCGCTGCTATTACCGCTTCCCCAACCAGTACGATTCCCCGGTGCCACCATATGGGGTGACACTTGTATGCGCCTAGTAAAAGCGTGTCCCTACATGATTCTGTTCCTCTGTACTGATATCCGGGCCTGCTCACGTGGTAAAACGCCCACTTTCACATTAGTGTGCAATTGGCGATCGAAGGTCCTTTGATGCTGCGCGGTCATCGACCGCGCCGGGCACCAACGTCATCAAGGAAAAACAAGGCTAGCCAGAAACTCGGTCTGGTCACACCAAGGGCGTTAGAGACACCGAATCGCTGAGGTTTCGGCAAACTGCAGTAAGCGAGCAGTGCTCTGTCTGTTAAGTATTCTGAATGAGTCATGGGGATTTGGCACATGCGGCAGTCGTTTATGTATGTATGCATTTTTCGTGTACACTATTCTCGATGTACGCATTTTTCATGTACGGTTTTTGCTGTGCACATTTTTCGTGTACGCTTTTTCCGAATTTGGCCTGCTCAGTAGCGAGCTGATGGAAAAGGGGACTGTGGTTTTACAATGCAGACCCTTTTGATATATGTTTTATAACTTTCACATTCATCTGACAGTCTTATAGTTTACATCGTCATTTGGGAATAGTGCCTATCTGACAGGACGAGTGATTTTTGCTACTTCTACTGCTTTTCGTGCCAGCGTTTACATATAAACGGGAGCGCTCAGATAGGTATAGGTCATGAGAGGCTGATGCGAGCGAAACTGTATGGATTTGAATAGATTCATCTTCCATCACCAAGGTAGACATCCTGCGGACATAATAGCCTCTACGTAAGAGTAGTGAGTATGATCAAAATTGACCATGGATCCGAGGAGTGAATATAAGGACTCGTTTGGCTTTCGTTGCCACTTTTTATGCGAGCCTTGAGAATGTAACAGGGTTTGGAAGTGTGTATGCTGAAAATCAGTTTATTCTCCTTTTCTTCTCTTCTGATAACCCAAGAGCCTTCACATATGCATCATTGAGTAAGCATGAAGTATCACTAGTTGAGTTCCAGCTGGTTAGGTGCTCTTCTTCCTGAGCTTAGGCTTCATTGCATGTCCCTTGGTATTTCCCTTGGTAATCGACCTACTATTATCACTGAGACGGTAAGACATGTCATTTATAATTAATCTGATGGAGAAAATTGTAGCTTTGGACACGGAGCACGAGAGGAAGCGCACAGGATTTACTAGACAGTGGAGGGTGATTCCTTATCGATGTATATGTACTGAGAAAAAGCTTGGTAGCTGGCTGGTGTGCGATTTTCATACTGGTAGTGCAAACTCTGCCACACATGCGGTAACGCGCCGGTTTTGCACTTGAAGGGAATTCCTAGGTGTATGAATGCTACTATAAATCCGATCGAAAGTTCCTCTTCTGCCTACACAACCATATCTGATCTCGCATCAACAGTTCGTGACGTTTAGGTTTTGTAACTGTCTCAGTAGAACCCAGTGCCTACTTTTTGAAAACGCGCTGAACGCGCCCCTGTGCCGCTGTGTCACACTGCATAGCACTGCTAAGTACCATAGTGCACTATTCTGGCACTGATTTGTGTTTTTTTAGTTATAAGTCTGATGCTTCCTTTATTAACTAGCTTGATGAACATGGTGTTGTACCCGTTAAGAGCATTTAAGGCCGTTAGCATAGTATAACAGTAAGCATCATACTTATTTACCACGAGCAAATGGTTTACCGGTGCTAGGTGGTTAGCTTTTTGTATCACACCACTATGAAATATCATTGCTTTTTTCAGCGGAGTAGGAGGCATGATCTAATCTTTCATGAACAACTTAGTCAGGTAGCACATTACGAAGCACCATTTTCTGATCCGGGTGATCGGATGCCTACACCACCTTTATGTCATCGACATACACGTAAGGCCCATCGTGGATACTAATGTCCAAGCTTCTTTGATACGCATGACGTAAGTGGTGGTTCCAGCGCACTTCCTTGAATGACGTCACTTGTCACAGGGCTGCGACAGGATGTGTGGTTATCGTTCTTCGTTGCTTTCATCTTATTAAAAAGTATGAAGAGAACCAAGAAAGTGGAGGACCAACAACGCTGTGCCCTGCCAAGTTTGCTAAAATCTACCTTATGGTATTTGGCCAAAGGCTTTTTGCATGTCAGATAAAATGACAACATAAGCTCTACTTTACCTATTGAACTTATGATGCTGTTCACCTGGTTTGGGTGGCATGAGTGACAAGAGCGCTACTTAATACCGTCATTTTGCAGCTAGACTGTAAGGTTCTTTGCTAATAGAAGCTTAGAAGTCTTAATCTTTACCATCTTCATAATCATGAGAAGTACGGAAGTGTTGCTGATCACGCGGAAGTATGTCACCTTTCGTTTTCAGCTTTCTTGCATATTGGTACACCCTCAAAATATCTTCCGTGAGATGAGACGGTGCTGGCTCTCATTGATAAGGTTTTCAAGGCAATTCGGGTACGAGGACCACATCTGACTGCATATCATCAGGACAGCCATAGGAGCATGAGTTCCTAGGGCTGATGGATTTCCTTATTCCTGCCATTAGAAGTTTTATGGTCCGCAATGCAATTTTGATAATGTAGTTAGCTCTTCGTCTATGTTGCTGTTGAAGAACAAACGAAGATGCCCATTAAAAGGATGGCGAATGACCACGGGATCTTCCGTTGATGTGGAAGTAGACAACGCAGTGGACGTGCTACCGTCATTTCTGCTTCTTCCTCTTCTTTTAAGAAACTCTTCTTCCTTTCGTTTTATTTGAGTCTAGGATAGCTAGATGTTCTTCATTACACTGTCTACCAGCTCGACTTGATGCTAGTTTATAAACTGCCTTATAGATTTGATCGAGTTTTTCAAGCTTATCGAATTTCACGTAAATGTTGACTGGTTTACTGATTGTATGTTTGAAAATGTGCAATTGCGAGCATTTTTGCGGTGGTACTGGGGTGTTTCTTGTATTTACATAGACCGAACATAGCGTTTATTTACATTGGCATAAAAGATCTTAACTTTCGATCTCCGGGTTGCATGTGCTAAACAATTTATCCCACTGCGTGTACTTTATCATTGTTGCCTATGTATCTCAGTTGATCAAACCATATGATGGGTAGCACGTCATAGCTCTCCGCTTCTAAGTTATTCGCGGGTAAACCAAAGTTAACTAGCAGCACTTTATGATCACTACTCGGGATTTTGTCCAAAATCCTGACGTTCAAACTGAAAGCTTTGAAGTGAAGATAGAATTGCGAATGTTGCCGTTCCCTATTGGAGATAGAGCTTTTTGTAACCAACGTTGTGTGCATATGGCCTAACGAAAATCAAGCAGGTAGCTCACTCATCCGTGTTAGTCAGTTCGCGTTTCTCCTGATATTTTTGCTTGTTCTATGTTCCTTTGGTTTTTTTCAGGCACGCCAAACAAGTGCCTTTGTCCACTCACGCAGCCCTTCTCGTGGCTCATTTGTCAGCAACCGTTATCTGCGCTCAGCTCGGATGCAGGCAGTCGTGTTCCCTCTATTGTCCGGGCACGGGCCAATCTGAAGCCGTGCATGAAGGATTGGATCATCACACAGTAGCAGAACAACTTGAATGGATTAGTCTCTTGTTCGAGGAACGCAATGTGGAAAGTACCTCGGAAGGTGAGCAGGTGGACTGCACCACACAAGCCTTTCGCTCTTCTTGCATGCTTCTATAAATGCATAAAATATCCACCCCTCCTGCTTTTAGTTTCTGTCGACTTGACGATACACATGAGCTGTCATTTGAGATGGGAGTCAGTCAAGACGGATCAGGTTGTGGCATTTTTCTCCCTCGTTCAAGAACACCTGCCTCATTTCTCTCCTTCCGCCATCAGGTATTTATTCTTCAGCTTGCGATCGTTTGTTCTCCCTCGTTTTGTTGTTAGCTATTATCAGATGAAATGTTATTTCAGCATGATTCGCTTCAGGCTGTTTACCTTTACCACCTTTGTACAAATCGCATGGCTATATTGCTGACAGTCGCTGATAAAGCTGCTCCAACCTTATGCATTTTCTCCATTTTCCACCTGGTTGTCTTAGCAGGAGACGCTGTGCTGTGCTAGCGGTTCGCTTTCTTCACTTACTGCACATTCCTCATGCCTGTCGTATGCGCGTAGCTTGCGTCTTCTACTCTGCACTAATTGATCTATCTGTCGTCTACTACTCAGGCGAATTTGCACAAACGTGGCCACTCACCTTTCCCATACTCATTTGAGCAACTGGTTGAGCGTCCATCCATGTCTGATGGCGATGTTTTCCGCCGCTCCACGCCAGGCTCCTTCCTCTTCACTCTCACATTCCTCCATGGACGAGTATCGTATTATGCAGTACGGCGCGCTGGCCTGTTGCCTCGCGGAACACTATTTAGGAGCCTTTTCATTACGTCCCAACTCCGCCATTCCCGCTGAGTCTGCTGAAAACCGGACGTCCAGCGAAGGTTTGCTGACAGTGCCCTCGGCTGCGTCATCCAGCTCGTTGACAGACTCCCTGGTTTCTGCTTGTGTTGCATTGTGTCGCCTCGGTCTGATGTACCAATATGTGCACGCGGCTTACGGGACAGTATATACACAGGTCCGTTTCCTGTTTAAATGATCTACTCAGTCTAATCGTTTTAGTCTGTTGTCGCTTATGAGGGATGCTTTGCTGCGTGCCTGTTCAGCGTTTCGATTTCTCGTGCTAATCATAATGGTCCATCATCAATTTCTTGTCTGATCACTTGTTTTGTGTATTACCTTCGCTAGGTTCAGTTGATTGTGGCTACCATTCATCTTCCTCCGGTTCACGTCCTTCGGCTTTGTCGAGAAAAACTTGCCCAGGTACGCACTTTGTTCATTTGATTAGAACAAGCATACTTTTACCGATTAGTGATGGGACTTACATCCCAGAAGACGAACTATTCCTCTGTCAGTTCTTTCATAGCATTGTACTTGTACCGCTCTATGGCACAGACCACCGCCCTTATCCCTGTCTGAGGGATCACCGATTGGGGGAACGACGCCGGATCTTGGTATCGTGCAACATTTTTATTCTTCACGAGCTTATTCTAATGCATTATGTTCCGTCTCCGATGACCCCGGTTAAGGTATTGACATCTCACTGATCGATATACTATTGTGCTTTTGCTTGTTTGTCCAACTTCTCGAGATAACGCAAAATTTTTCCCGCTAATGGGAGAATGATGGGTGTCTTCACTCTAAACATAAATGACCTATTGATGCCTTCATCGTCAGGGCATCTACACAAGTGAGATATGACGTCAAGGTCAACCTCATCACTCAGTGACTTCAGTATCAGAGACCTTTTAAATATGTAGTCCGATTGGATGATGACTGCAAACGTTATGGTTTTGTCGTTCACTAACGTCATCTCTCTAAACGTCAAAGCAAGCACTACCAGTAAATTGAGACAGACCAGCAGCGCTTAGTTTAGCCACCCTTAGATCCATTGGTGCGCTTTCCCTCAGTCCTCCTCCGGAGACCGAACCTTGTTAGAGGAGCAATAAAAATACAGGTAGGCTTATGTAAACTTTCGTTTTGTTATAGTGGTTCCCTGATGTTTGTTTTAACGCATCATTTCACTATCGCTATTGGCTATTTAGAGTCATTGTTTTTGCCTTCAGATCGCAGCCATACTCTGACGCTACCATTCTCACTTTACCTTCTTTGTGTGCACCTGATTGGTTCTTCATTTGTCCAGTTCTTATTGGCTTTACTTGTCCGCATGCTTTCTGTACTCTGGTTCGCCTTCACGTTTGTGCGTTATGCTATATAAGCAAGTAGTTTCCTTATGTAAAAGAACCCTTGAATCTTTGTCCCTGGTCATTCGTGTTCTCAATACCGTTAGTGGACGAAAGCAGTCGCGGGGCTCCGGCACAGCAGAACCCATGACCGCTAGTGGCTTCCGCTACTAGCCGGCAGCTTGTGCTACTGAGTTTCTTGAAGGATACCACAAATTGTGGTGAATGGCGAGGATTGATTACCACCAGACCTGGTGACCTGAGTGTGTTTAGCGAATTAATCCTCTAACAAGCTAACTATGGAGATTGAATACCAGATGTTTGTAGATCTTGCAGCACTAATTCACGGGTAACACGGCCTAAATCGTTTCAGTAGTCAGGAAATAGACACGTTTGATTTGTTCTTACTGTCTAGCGACGAGATCACTGAATGCACTCGACAAGCCGCTGCGTCCTGGGAGGACGTTCAACTTCTATGGGCAGACTGATGTGGATCATCTAAACAGAATTGGGTCAACATCCTTACAACTATAAGTTTATCGAAAGTCTTCAAAACCACCGTAGTACATGCAAAAGGCCGCTATTTCCTGTCCCTTCTCTCGGTACTGTCGTTAGGGTAGCAATCATCCAACAATCCGTGATTTCACTTTGCTTTAGGCACATTGCATACAACTCAGTGAAAGGCTGGATGACAGAAAACAACCATTCAGATCCGCTTGCCTGATCTGAGTGCAGCTAGGTTAGCTTGTTATGCATTGATGCAATATCGATACGAGAGTCCGTAGACTACTAAAACTTTGTAGATGCTGAGTCAGCAAGTGTGTCACTGCTGATGCAGCAGGTGTTACGATTCTGTGTCAACGACCGACTTTGCCATGCCGATTTTCATCATTTGCCAGATTCCACAGCAACGTTTATTCACCATACTAGTATGTACCTAGACATGAATGAGGTGGTGCACCTCTCCCTAATGTGAGCGGTAAGGGGCTTAACCGATAAACTGCCGTTGGATCCACGCGCCTGCCTGGCTAGGTATCAAAGGACGAAAACTATTGGTGACTCGGAACAATTCAAACTATGGCGGGCAATCGAAACCAGTTGAAGTTCTGTGTACATACTCGTTTAGATGCAGATGCTGAATGACTAGCAATTGATAACGCCAAAAAGACAAAAGGATACGTCTGGCACAATAACTGAAGTGTGTTTTTCACATTCAACTGGTATGTATTGGTGATGATGCGGTGACTACCTAGTTTTTGTTGGCAACCATTTCTCTCATTTGTGCTGTGTTTGTAGGGAAGAATCGTATCCATTTCCATTTACCATCATTGTAACGAGTTCTATCCTTGTGGTTTGTCTTACGGTAGGGATCAGGGGATAGCTTGACATTCGAATAATCTGTATTGTTATGAAATGCCCGTTTATATGCCGTAAATATCTTCAGATTCTTGAAAAATACAAAATCCATGGTTGCTGCTAACCAGCAAATATGTATTGATACTGGCCGGGTTTTTTAGTCGTGGCAGACGTGAAGTCGTCGTACTATTTGTTTGCTTCGTAATTGGAACAATTGGGGTATATAGATATTCCCTAGTAAAACTGGGCGGTATCCACTCAGCCATTTTTGTCCATACTTAGGACTAAGTAATCGATACGCTGTGACGAGTAGCGAAACAAGCTTTTCACTGATAGGTACCAAGAAGAGTTAGTAAAACCTATGACACGTACACGGACGGTCGCACGAAAGCAAATAAAACCGTCAGTCGCTACAACGGCGTTTTCAACTTCTCTATGAAGCTGGGTCTTCTGCAGCATAATGATTCCTACTTGCACGTATTCACGGCAGTTGATTTTGTTTTTAGGTCCTCCATTTTCCCAGAAGCGGAAGGACATTGCCCATGGTAATGAGATACTTTTTCCGAAAAGCAACCTTCCACCCAACACGTTTTTTGTAGATCCTTGTTCACTCTATTTCTGATTGAATTTCCTTGTTAGCTTGTGCGGAAACGCGTTACGATTTTGAAACCGCTCGAGTATCGGTTATCATGAGTAGGTGAGTAAAATAAGATGTTCTTAAAAGTTCTGTCCAAAGCTTGTCTGTCAGTAATTCTTTGCAAGATGAAAGGTGGCTTACAGTCAGATCTAAAGAACGCACTCCAATGTACGCATATATGCGCAGGTGATCTGATCGGCTTCCCCATGTTAGGTGGCTATCTCTTCATCCGACGTGAAATTCACCAGTAAGGAGTGAGTGTAGAGACAATTGATGGATTTAACTTGATAGATTTGTAGTATGGTTGAAGCGTGTCGGTGTTTAAAACGATCAACTTTTTTATGGAGTCTTTCTAGAATATTGTGTCCCCGTTAACCATTTACTGAGCACAGAAAAATTCATGAGTCGCGATATGTTAACGTTTCAGTTACTCTACTCAGTCACGAAAGCAATACATTTATGGATCAAATGTATGTGAACATGTGGAACTCAAACTTAAACAAAATGATCAATCAAAACCATGGCAATTTATTGGATTGTGTCGTTTGTTTCTATTCACACAATACCGGACAATACTTCGCGATAAACAAAGCCTCGATAATGGGCAATATTTTTGGTTCCGGTCGCGCTACAGTATTTTGTATCCTCTCGATTGGTCCACTTTATGGCAAGTCAACACACGATACCTTGCGATGGACTAGGCAGGGTAGCGATTCTCCAGTAGATCCGCACCATTTCGTTACGTCAGTGCTTGTTGTTGTAAATTGGGGAAGTGTTTAGCCATCTTTAGGGCTAGTCTACAGTCAATCCTGTCTATATCAACATCATCGCAGCTGCAAATGAGCTGGTAGATTACATGTGAGGCTGCTCTGCCCGACAGGTTACTGAAAACCGGTCTTCGCATGGTGTTGAGGAATCGCAACTGGCCGGTAGTGTAGGTACCTGAGAGCGCAGACCTGATCTTATGCAGAATATCGTTGGCTAAATGGTCTCTCTCGAACGGTGGAAACAAGTAAATGTCTTTCTTCTCTGCCGTTGGAACCAGTGATCTCTCCTTAGGCTGTCTGCTATAAATCTGGATGGACTTATCTAAGTGAGCAAATGAAGTACTAGCATGTCACAATTTGTGTTTTCTTTCTATGTTCAGTGAATGGTTTCAGATGAACCAAACGAGTATGCAACGTATTGAGTATGTAGACGTCGCGGAACACCTCCATTCTTTTGGAGCAACCAGAACTCTATCACAGATAAAATGATCATCTTCTAGCTGTTGCCTTTATGATGGAAACCCAGCAATACAATAGTTACGAGAAAGTCGTTCTATAATTCATCTACTTAGGTTTGTGTGGTTCAATAGAGTAGACAGTTATGTATCCGAACTTTTTTTCCAACGTAGTTGTCGCCGAATCCATGAAACCGGTGTTCGTTTATGGGCTGCTTTTCGGACGAATGTTTGTATTTGGTTCTGAACAGCAGTGAGTTTGCATCCGCATGTCTATAAAACTGACATATTCGGTGTCGTTTGCTCTCAGTGAAATGCATTAGTCTGGCTCTAGCCGAATGAATACTCGCAAGATTCCGCCTTTAGACAAAGCTGTCCCTATGCCACTGAGTCGCGGCGGGCAATATCTGTCATAGTTAATACGGACTTACTTAGTCAGTTACTTTGGAACACTCGTGTGCGAATGTATTGGGGCGCGCAGTTTCTATACAGACTACTATTCACTCCAAACTGAGCTTCAGTCATTTCATCCAGGGTTTTCCTCTCGCAAACTTCAAAATATCAAAAAGAAACATTTCAACAGAATAATCCGAATTCAGATATTTCGTGTCTTTTATCAGCTGTGAAATCAGTATGTTGCACACAACGATAAGATAGTGCTTGAGATCGTTCTGTTTAAATAAGGCTGATCGATAACCCCACCAGGGCAATGCGAGGATAGTCCTGAACTCTGCTTACATAAACCGGGCTTCTGCCGACGAATTTCTGAAGTCTCTACTCACTGGATTAGGCGAGCCATGCTCTGCCGATTGATGATTTTGAAATTTCCCGCTTGTGTTAGCACTTAGGACAATCAACGATATGCCGATCGATGGAGTTTGTGGCAGCTTAGGGCCATTTGCCACCAGGTTACGTGGGATATGTTCTGGAATCTAAACTTCCTCCTTTTATACAAAATGTGCATTTGTACAGCAGATACCTAGATGATACAGTTGTTATAGTTGATAGCGCTCATCAGGCAACACATCTACTTAATGCTCTGAACCAGTCCTATCCGCCGATCAAATTTACCACGGAAAACGAAAGATAGGACTTTCCATTTTTGGATGTGAATGTGAAAATAAATTTAGACGGCGCACTCACTCGATCGGTGTACCGCAAGTCTACCTGGAGGGGACAAAATCCCATCTAATAGTTTCCGCCCCATCAACCACTAACGAGCGCCCGTACGCACCACTTTCGCAAGAGCTCATATGATCTGCTTCGAAGGGACGATTGACGATGAGATGCAACGTGCCTCAGCAACATTACGAGAGAACGGGCATCCCGAGAGGTTCATCCCGCGCCATTCAAACGTAAAAACTATCGGGAAACGCAGGGTTGACGCGCGTAAGTTCACCCCAACACCGATTGTACGCCAGAAACTCAGGAATAATATACCTCAGTCGCAGACTTCCTTCTGTCTGTACATTTTCTCTTGCTTATGTCGAGCAATGTATATTGGGAAAACGACCAAGCGGCTGTCCGTTAGAGCTCGAGAGCATTGCCCAGCTTGGCTCTATTGCGTTGTGAAGAAGGATGTAACGAGTACCATGACGCACCAAGTCAATTTACACGACACATTCTTATCAATATACTGTGTACCCAGATGTCACACATTAGCGGTCAAGTGCCGCCTCCTATCGACAGCAGGAATGATCGCAATTCGGCTCCATAACTCAGACCGATGTACACAGAAAAAAACTCGTCCAAACTCTCACTACTTTGGCCTCAGGCTAATCTGATTAACAATGGCAGTCACGCCACTCCACCTGACTTCATATCAACCAGATCAGTCGCGTAGCCTTGTCGACCAGGTACTTTGCTTCAGTGACTCACCGCGTTTAGACTTGTACTTATTCTAGCCATCTTTGTAGTGCTTGTGTTAGCCTGATGATGGAACTGAAAACCTGCTTGTCCGCTGCTTTTTGTTTCTGACAACTTCTAATTTCTCGTTTTCCCCTTACCCGATTTACATAATAGGTCTTTTATCCTTAGGCTTTTACTTCAGTTTCACTCTTGTTGGCGACCACATTGCATTTGCTTGTTAACTAGTCGGAGGAGAGTGCGCAGCTCACTCATGTGTAAACTTACAACTATTCAATTATCGCGATTACACACCGGCATAAAACTGCTGTAAAATCAGGTCGTGGAGAGCAAATAAAATATTCTGACATAGACTGCCCAGCAAGGTGTGTTTTCATATATTTGTAGCAGAGACTTATAGTCACAGCTGGTGGTTGTTTCCGAGACCATTGACCCTTTCATGGCAAAAGGGTGATCGTAGTTCAATAAGTACATGGTGATCTATCGTGCTTACAGTTAGTATGAACCCGAATGCGGGTGTCTGCTTTTCTTGTCCCCCATACGTTTGTACGTGAGATTCTGTCCAGCCCGATCTGAGTTTCCCAAGATTAACTTCGAAGAATTCGCCAAATCTCAAATATCAGTATTCCGCTCAACGATTTTATCATTCTTACCTCTACGTTATTTTGAGGCTAATACCATTACACTGCATTTTTAATTATCCATTCCACTATGTACGACTTGCTTTGGACATTACTTCGTCTTTCACTTCTCTTAACTCCTTCATGGTCCTTCTCCCCAACTGCCTTCTCTCTTGAAGTTCACCTGGCTGTCACAATTCATGTATGATCACTCGTGCTCATCCGCCCCAGGCCACTTCCATTCTGCGCCTACCTAATGCTTTCTTTGTTTTCAGGCAGTGGCAGATCACATGGAACAATCTGTCATTCACGCAGTCGAATGCATTGCCCGATTGTTCCGTCTGGACAACATCACCGTCATAAAAGTTCGTGCTATTCCTCTTGCGATGTGTTTTTTTCTTTTTTCTACTCCAAATCGGCACCCTCTTAGAGTTCATCCTCAAGCCATTGTCACACTTCATCTAGCCCGCGCCATATCAGTGACCGGTTTTCGGAGCCCTAATTGAATCCGCTCCGCAAAAGACCAACCCAGACAAATCTCCTGGCACTGCTAGTCTACCATACAGCATCATTGCAATTCGTTTTGGTACCTAGTCTATTGACGCATCTACTTTTTGTGTTCTCCAATTGTTACGAAGGTCGACTTTACGCGCTCTGCTTTTCGTTGTCTGTTCAATATACTCGTTAATGGCACATTGAAGCAGTTGGTTCCTCAAATTTTCTTTATATTTCGAGTCTGTTTTCTCCGTGCGCCACCGAACTAAGTCATGGCAACCGTTGCACTTGTCTTCTCAAACGAGTTGCCGCGTCGATGTGTCACCTTATGGAAAAGGTGAACCACGGAGTATCGCCCTGGTATTTACATTTGGTTTATACATTTCCAGCTATTCATTAGCTATGATCGATACACCGAAATTCGATGTATCCATTTACCATACATCATCTCTATATGATATTAATAATTAACGATGATGGAAAATGCTTCTAAACGCAAAAGTCTTAGACTAAGTGACTTAATGACGAACGATTCTTATAGCTCGTCTGATTGAAATGCTAACAGATAGCCGCAACGGGCCGTAGGCATATTAATCACTGACACCGCGGCTGCGCTTTGTCGGATGTGTTCAACCGCGCTATTAACCAAACTGTCGAGAAGTGCTTAAACTGAAGTTGGGTCCGACCCAAGAACTATGTCGTTCAGGTTCTACTTTCGTCATTTGTTCACCTGGCAGAGCTTCCACCTCAAAATTGTCTGAAACAACAGGGCCGTTTGTTCTCACTTCAGCAGCCGGATTAGTGCTGAAAATATACATTTTTCATATCACACTGAGCATTTACCATACCAACTTGTGTGTGTTGCATATCAAACTAGACAAAGTCGCGCAGCTGCACAGGTTCACACACACAGTACTCGAAGGCCAGAGAGATAACGGGAGACAACTGGGTCACCAATTTAGATGACATGAACGATTCTCACGGTCAAATCAACTTGCGACCGTGGTAGCTGAATGGCTTGCTCTAGCGCCCACTGCTTCCACAATTCGCGTTGCACTTCCGAAATTCTCATCATAGCTATGCTGTAGCTTGATGGTTGTTTCCAATTTGCGAGGGGTCACTACTTAGCCGTTTCTTCTATCAGTGCTCATCTACGATACCTGACTTCGTCATGGCGATTTGTTTTTACACGTCCACAAATGCTATGATCGCTTAGTATGAACTAATCAAGGCAAACATTACAGCTCTGCGGCTTCCAAATTTACTTTCCGACACACTCGCATGCGATTGCCAGCCTTAGTCCGTTCAGCCTTATATACTGTTTGTGCTTAATCGTAGTATCTTATCTAACTTTCCGTTCACTTGGTAGGAGTTGGTCTCTCCCTTATTCATTGCTCTTGTGCTTCGAGGAAATCAGGAAAGCCACCTTCAGATTCGACAAGTGGTGACCGAGGTTCCCTACCTACGGCCCTCCCAAGTTAGTCTGATTGCCTTGATGTTTTTCTAGCTTTAAAATTTTTTCCCAACTTTTTGACATATTTTAACAGCACAGCTGAACGCTGTGCTCCATGGTTCCTCGTCTTGGCTCTGGAGTGCATGCGACGTCGCTCTTCTGATTGTTTTCTTTTTTCACGATAATTGTGACTATGCGTTTTCAACTTATACGATCATCTGGACCATCTATGCACTCTCTTGCAATGGATATGTGCTTTGCTACAAAACCCTCTTAGCCCTCATAAATTTTGTGTGTTCTTATCTGTTCCCATTATTCCTACGACGGCGTTCTACTAACCTCGACTGCCAATGCTTTCCTTAACGTTTTGATTCGTTCTCCGAGCTGAGTAATCTAACGGCACACGTTTCACCACATCGCTCAGTGGCATCTTCAGTGCACTGCTGCGTATAGGAAAATCTCACGGATAGTGTTATCGGCACATAGTGTTTGAAATTGGCCTCGTCGATCTGTATCCCGTGACCACTGTTTGTTCGATTTTCGGCCGCCCAGTTTCACGCTTTCTCAGCTGTAGGTACACAGGATCGAGGTCAATGCGGAGGTTCACTGAATTCTCCGTAGAGAATCATGCCTCGAAAAATTATCTTCTTTTCTTGTCCCTCCGTGCACCAGAATTTCTGTGTTGTCCCAGTTAACGTTGTATCCTTCCTCATCTAGATGCGCCGAGATCTCTGACGATGCATAATGGTATCAACGTGCACGCTTGTGCTCTTGTATTATCGTGCATAATTTTCTCACCGTTTGACCAACATAGCATTTCTCACAGTTCTCGCACTGTATCCTGTAGACGACATTTTGGCGTTCCTATGCCTCAAATTTTCCTTTAGGTCTAGATAAGATCCCCTTCAAGTCGCAGTTGGTATGTGAGCTATCATCAGGTTGTGCGGCTTGAGGAGTATGGCTGTCTTTTCTGATACCTTTTTGATCTACGGCAATGAGGTACGTTTCGTTGTTGTTGGTGCAGGGTGCGGTAGTTGTGCTGCTTCGGTTTAGATGTCTTCGGATGAAACTGCATGAGCAGCCGTTGCGAATGAGACAAACATTTCGCCTCCGCACTATTGCAATGCGATTCTGTCCTACGAAACAGGGTCCGTATAGCTTATTTGGTCGGCATTTCTCTTTCTTAATTCACGAATGCGTTATCAGCCCTCAGCTGTGTTGGTTGCAAAGCATCAATTCCCTCTTGGTTTTAACTCTCCATTGGCCGTTTGTTTATCTTGTCGCCTTCCGTGTGCATTCTCGATTTCCAATTCCTTTTATTGTTCGTGATGAACAGCTGAAGTGTCCAGTTTTTCACTCTATAAACAGTCCAGCGACGTTTTCCAGTTTATCTGGACCATCACATTTGCACGATTTCGGATTCCACAAGTTTGTTTTGCTTGGGATAATTTTGTTTTATTTTTTGTTACGTTTTATCATTGATTGCCTGTCTGGTTTTCATCTTTGTTGCCGAGTTTTATCGCACCATGATCACCTAGGACAGGCGTGTCCAAACTTTTCGCGAGGAGGGCCACATTTTGTGAGGTAAAAATATGTCGGGCCGCATTCAGCCTAACCTATAGATAACCAAAATGACATATATTGCAAGGCCGTGGGCCAGTTGAGACCTTAACGCGGGCCCGCGGGACGAACTTTGGACATTCCTGACCTGAGTATACGCTTATTTAGTTTTCCTGACGCACCTATTGGTTTTATTACGAATTATGCGATCATAATGACGTCGGTTCGATATCAGTTTTAGCGGCGCTCATCCACCTTTTACTGGTTGGCAACGACCTGCTTTTGACTGCCTGTCTCAGGTCCCACCTATTCCAAAGCCACAAATGACTTCATGAAGCTATTTTGTCTGCATGGCCGAGCCTTCAAAATTGGCCTTGCTTTTTAATTCATATCCGAAGGATTTACTGCCATACCTTTTTCAGCGCTGCATCGAAACCTTTTTGTTTTATCTTTCAATTTTTTGTTCTGAAACTAGTTACATGATCGTTTATACTCGCAATACTTTGACATATTTGCGTGTTTTCACGCCCACTAATTGGTCACTTTTCTTCACTCAAATCATACGGAACAATATAAAATGATGACGACGAAGCGATGGAATTCTGCACAAAACTATACAGGATGGAGAGTTTCACTTCGGGGAAAATATCAGAGGTATGCGTCTATCTGTTTCACTCAGTGCCAATACCTAACCGCTAGGTGGAAAATCAGAAGGCCCCACAAGTGTGATAGAATTTCGCAAATATTCTCGCGTTGGCACCTGGCTTCACGATGGTGTTGAAGATGCGGTCGTGTAACAGTTACAGCCAAATAGTTACCCTTCACTGGTGCACACAACATTCTTTACTTGACTTGACTATTGGATCACAGTGAAAGTAGTTCTGCCTTGCGGCAGCGACATCTGGCTGTTTCTGTCTGAGGACCTGAGCCTCACTCAGATTTTTGACTGTGGCTCGCATCGGACGACACCGATATGATGACGATGCTCAAGCTAGTTTACGAGACCAGTGATTTGGATTACGTAAATCAGACACATGCTGCCCATGTCTGATCACCGCTATCCGAGGACAAGTTTGCGTCGTGTACCTAATCGAGAAGAGCGATCGATGGCATGACAACTGAAAGTGAAGTCACTGACGGCTAAATTAGGTGGTGTTGTTTCCTCACGTCTTCTAAGCGACATATCCTGTGCATAGCTCCACATTACATGCTATGGCCCGCTTACGGTGCCAGTATTACATTTACTGTCATTTCCTAGTCCAACTACCTGTGCGAAAGGTTTCTTATACTTAGTTAACTGTGGGATGAGGCTAACTGTGACGCACGACAGTAAAACTTCTAGGTCAGCTCTGGCCGATGCAGCGTTACTCTCGCACGATGGCATCTGCCTGTGACTGTGCAGTGTTTACGAAGCACCTTGATGCCGATTGACTGTTTGAATAAACAAACAATAAATGGTATAATGCACGAGTATGCGACAAGCTGATCCCAAGCACGGTTTGATCCAAAATATTACGGAGGTGACTAGTAGGGGGATTAATTTGTTTTAATGAAGATTCCTCGTAGCTAGACTTAGGTAGACAATTAACACACATCCAGCTAAGCGCTAGACGGCAGTTTCGTCCCAATTGGAACTCGTTAGTAGCGCGTACGCGCCGAATCCTGCCGAATTCGAACCCACGACCTTATTCTTACGAGCCAGCGATTTATGCCGCTGAGCCATGGGTAACGGCAGCGGACTGCCATGACTGATATCTAACTGCTATGTAGCGCGGCTCATCATCTGCTGTCGTGCAGGTAATGAGCGTGGTTAGGACAGGGCTGACCCCCTGAGCATATCATCTAATAACTATGTTCAAGTGCGGAGGTTAAGCGTTAGGGCACAGAGGTGTCAAAACAAAAAGGTGCGGATGTGTACTTGCATTTTTCCATGATATTATAACATGTTTACTTGACTAAGCACAACCGATTGTCCTGCAAGTTCCAAATGCTCATGTTCCGTTCATTGCATTCGTTAGTGGCATCTTTGGTATATTCTGTAAGGAAAATGCTCATAGTTAGAGCGAAGAATAAGTTATTTACAACCAGCATATCAATGTGTCAGCATCGAAACGTTAATAAAATCTTCGTAGAAAGGCATAACATGAGTTCAGTTAACCCTTGGAATTTCGGAAACAGTCTACAGTATGGCTGGGCATTAATCTCGCACTAAGGATTTGGGGTTTACCCATAAGGTTAGCATTCGTTACCACTACTGAAGAAATGACTACCACTTGACACATAAGTAATAGGGAAGATGGCAAATATAGGATCTAAGCATGTAAAACAACCTTTATTCCTGTGCCAGTTATCATATCGTTGATCAATGATCATTGGAAAGGGGACGATTGAGAAAGGGCTCCGTTTGCTTTCTTTTTCGGCATACCGTGACGAAATAAAAACTATTAGATAGATATGGTATGTGTGACTTCCACTTATCAATGCTGAAAAAAGTTTATTAGTAACAGGAGTAAGAAGAGTGGAAGAGCTCGGTTTATGCACGCGGAGCCGCGAAGTGAGCACGGCCAATTATGCATAGAAAAAAGGACCATAAATTGCAGATAAGAGCTCGTTCTGTTTGTCTTCTTCAAACTCCATGTAAATATGGAGGTTGCGAGATAGGCATGGTCAAGTGAAAAAATAACGTTAAGCGACTGAAAGTGATTTTCGAGGTTTCTTGCTTTGATCTATGTTACTTGCACCCCTTTCAAATACTTGATTGACTCTCTTCGTTGCGCTAAGCGTATTTGTTGTACTCCAATTTAAGCTTCTCCTATATTTCTTAAACATCTCAAGCGGTTTGCTCTGCTTACTGATTTTATAGCATTTTGTTCCATATCCTGGAATACACTATCCTGAAGAATTTCCACGTTATCCTGTTGCGGTACCTCGGAAAACGAAGCTATATTGCACTGTCTCTGAATTGTTACCGCTCACAGACATCTGGTGCTCGCTATTGCTATTAAAATGTACATGATAGTTGATGACGTTATATAGATAGCAGTGGTTGTGTATCAATCTCCGCAACCTTAATCAAAACCAACTGTCTGACATCGCTTATGATAAGTCCATGCATTTGAATACCCTATTCAGTGCTTCTTGAATCGCCTTTGCGCTCTCGCAATTGCCATTTTATCACGCTTCCGCATATTAGTGCTAACAACTAATCAATATATATATATATATATATATATATATATATATATATATATATATATATATATATATATATATATATGGAATGGTGGCGTCCGTGTCCGGATTCCCTTATTACTGTGACTTCCACCGAGACAGCCACTTAAAGTCTGCGCCCACAAAGGAACCATGATTGGCTTGCGCTGCACCACCCACAGCTCCATCCACACACCCCATATCCGGTGTGAACCCAAAGAAATAAGACCGGGAGGCATGTGGACGGCAGCCAC